GATCCGCAACCTGGTCATGTGTGTCGATCTTCTGTGGCAGAATAGCTTGAGAGACAACATGATCTCGTACAAAGTAGCAGTCGAGTTCCACATGCTTAGTACGGTCGTGGAACACAGGATTAGTTGAGATATGTAACGCAGCCTGATTATCACAGTGTAAAATAGTAGGACCAAGGGTAGGAACTCCCAGATCGCAGAGTAATGCCTGTAACCAAATCACTTCACTGACAGTGTGAGCCATGGCGCGATACTCTGCTTCAGCTGACGAACGCGCAACCACAGTTTGTTTCTTCGTGCGCCAGGACACAGGAGCAGAACCCAACATGACGAAATACCCGGAAGTGGAACGACGAGTCGTTTGCAACCCGCCCAATCAGCATCGCAATAGGCGGTTAACTAAAGATCACCATCGGCAGGAAGGAGAATGCCTTGGCCAGGTGCATTCTTCAAATATCTGAGAACCCGCTCTGCTGCAGCGATGTGGGCTGGGGTAGGAGAGTTAACAGAACGACTCAAAATGTTAACTGCATAAACGATGTCCGGGTGAGTAACTGTGAGGTACTGAAGCCGATGCTACGTATGCTCTACTTAATTCTGATGCTACTGGTCCGTCGTCCTCACGAGCAGCCATTGGAGTAAGGGCTCCGCACTTGTCAGTCGTGCTTTCCCCACGTTTACCGGTCGGCGACGCCCTTCAGTCGGCTCAAGTATTTTTTCGCTTTCATGGCATCGGCAGACGCGGCCATGGCGGAGGTATGGGATTCGTTGGCTTCGAACAATCTGGCGGCATCAATTTTGCATTCGGTGAGTACTATGTCGGTATACATGATTCGTTCCTTATGGAGTTGCTAACTCTTCGCGATGGGTTAAGTTGGTGTCTAACTCATGGCTTTCTTCGTGTTGCTTTATATGGCGATAACCAATTGGTATTACAACGGGTCTTGTATGGGGATGCATCACATGACTTGGGAGGTGCTATTCTGGACGACATCCGCCAGCTAGCAGCCTAGCAGGACGCTTCGCGATTTGCTCTTGTTCCTATTCTCCTCGTGGTTTTAATAGAGTTGCCTATCTTGTGGCCAAACAAACTCTTTCATCGGGAGTTCGACTATTGGTTGACTGCCGCTCGTGAATTTCTTCTGTTCTCTGACCATTTTTTTTATATTTCTGAGTGATATCAATGGAAGAAAATAGTTAAACTTACAATTCTACCCATGACCCCCAACAGATTCTAAAGAAGCCACCCCAAAAAATCAAAAGATTCTAGCTCTACACGAGATAAAAGCAGTGTTTTACGCGCCACTCTATGGGCAGCACTATTGGCAGATCTAGGTACCGCCATAAGCTGCTCTATACAAACAGACAATGAGCTAAGGATCTGAAGACACTCTCGTAACACCGGACCACCAATCGGGTCTTCAATGACGCCTTGACGGACTTGGTTGACCACCACTTCGGAATCACCTTCGACTATCACATGGGTCAAGGATCTTGAGGCTACGATGGAGATGCGTCTCTAAAAGCTAGAAGCTCTGCCATATAAGGACTGACTATTCCTTGATGTTGCAGCCCGTGCGCCAACACCACATGCCCGTCTGACCCATGGATAACAAGCCCAGACGAACAACCGGTGACACAAACAGCTGCGTCGACGTTGATCTTCAAAAAGTCTTCTGGTGGAGGGACCCAAGTGGTGGCATGATGATTTGGGATTAGAGAGCTGCAGGGCGGAGGAGGAGGAAGAAGATAGGAGAATTCGAGGACCTGGATGTAGAACTGTTTGGCTAGGGAACATACATGGGGTTGGATAAATTCGAAGGTCACTTTATTTCTAGACTTCCAGATTCTCCAAAGTAAACAGACACATTGGAGAATGTGGAATGGGGAGGTCTCGGAGACCATGACATGTCGCCACCATAGACAAAAGTTAACAATCTGGGCGGGCTCGATAAAGTCCACAATCTGGTGGCTAGGGGGCATCTGAAGAATAAATGTTCAATGCTTTCTCGATGTCTCCAACAGACAGGGCATCGGTTGAGACATTTGACTCCACGAGATTGAAGGGCCACTACTGTGGGAAGTATGACTTTGAGGCATTGCCATATGAAAAATTTGAGCTTAGGCGGGACTTGGATATTCCGGGTCTTTTCCAAATAGGAGGGTCAATGATATGCACTATCGGTTTTTGGCTTAATGCTAATGTTATTTCCAGAGCTAAGTGATAGCCCGATTTGACTGTGTATTTCCCATGCTTGGGATAGTGCCACACTCTAATGTCTTGTTGTGGGTAGCGAGGAAGAGGAATTCTCCTGACGAGATCAACCAATTGAGGTTCAAAGCAATTCTGGAGTTTTGATACGTCCCATTCCCCTTGGCCTTCTTTTATGAAATAAGATACCATAGGTGATCCGTTTTGCATATGGGGTCGGGTACTCGGAATTAAGGATTTATCCCCTGGAACCCAGTTATCTATGAAATAAGATACCATAGGTGATCCATTTTGATATGTCCTCTTCAAAACTTATGTTAGAAGCATGTAATGAAGATAATCTCCATTAAACCAATTTGGAAGACCAAAAATCCACCCCACTTCAAAAGCCCATTTATATGTAAAAGATCAAACTTGCGTGTGTCCCATTGGTTAGTCAAACCCATTAACTGCCAATAAAGCACACATTGAAGGCCTATAATTACCATAAATGGAACCTGTCATTGTCGAGCAAAGCTCTATTCCCATTAGAGCCATTGTAGGGCACCTTATACCATCAAATAAATTAGATGACGGTATCTTCCAATCAAAAGGTCAACAAAGAAAATATTGAGCTGGCCCACATGAATAGGGAATTATTCCCCTAATAACATAAAATAAATGGTGATTTAAAAGCTCATAATGAAGCTTAAGTCCGTCCGAAACGAACGAATACCTCCAATAAATGGAGTTTTAATTCTTAGCGGAGGGGCATTGAATGCAGGATCGACCGAGCAAAGCTAGTCGCGGGCAACTCTCTGTTGCGCAGCAACGACTCGAGCCTCTGCAGCTTCAGCTCATGCTTGAACCGGTTAATGAAGTCGCCCGCCTTGGAGTCAACCCCATGGTCATGATCTCTGATCGACACTTCCTTATGCAGTCTCACTGTCGCCGGCCGACGCCGTTCCTGATTAGATTCCAGTGTGTGCGCAGTGGGAGTGGTGTAAAGAGATGACGATGCCGATGATGATCCGTCGTCATTGGTGAAGAGATGGTGGTAGTCCTCTGTTTTTGGGTCTCGCCAGCTGGATATGCGGAGAGGGGAAGAAAAACGGTTGAGGGATTTGAAAAGCGAGGAGGTCCGCTCCAGTGCCCGCGCGGTGGTCGGGTGAGATGACGGTCCGACCACGACGTCGTTGCAGATCCTGCATCCATCAATTCAAACACAGAGAAAAACAGAGCAGGAGCAAGAAACAAACCTAACAATTTACTGTAAACAAATAGTCAAGAAATTCAGAAAAACGAAGAGAGCAATCAACAAAACAGGGGGTTAGAGCAAGCAATCACGAATCGAAATCAAAATAGAGGAAATTACGGCAAAGCAAAGCAGAATCCGAGAGGAGAGTTGCGAGAAGTAGAAAGAGCGCTCCGAATTGGGAGGGAGATCGGCTGGGAGAGTTTGGAGCGAAGGAATCTGGCTAGATCCAATCAAGTTACAAAACTAACAAATGTTAACTCATTGGCAGATTGTTTTGCGCGAAATGGTCCTATGAAAACTTCTCTAACCATGCATTTGAGCTAGGGGTGGGCATTCGGTCGGTTCGGTTTCGACCAAACCGAAATTATGAATATCGGGTTCCCGAATTCTCCCAAACCTCAAACCAAATTCGAACCGAATTATAATTCAATTCGGTCGGTTTAAACCGAACTATAATTCGGTTCGGTTCGGTTTTTCACACAAAACCGAATTTGTGAAGCTACTTGTATTTTCTCACTTTTAAATTATTTTTCACCCCTAATATAAACAATAAATATCAATTATATGCATCATCAATGATGAAACCAAACTTTTCAACACATAAGTCATAAAACATTTCAAATATTTAAGTCTAAAAACAACTACAAACATAAAAATCCACCATTTGGAGCTTGCAATTATAGTATTTCGGTTTTTCGGTCGGAAATTCGAAAATTCGGTTCGGTTGAAAGAACCATGATTTTCGAACTATCCATATTTTCCTTCCGAATTCCGAACCGAATAGCATTAATTAGGTTTCGGTTCAGTTTAATTCGGGTTTACCGAACCATTTGCCCACCCTGAGCTCGTTTGGATGGATCAATTGTAAAACGAGACAATTTGATCAATTGTTTAATTTTACAAAACGAGTCATTTAAAACGAGTCAATTCATATTACCTGCCCCACCCCAGACAATTGTAATTGGCTCAAAATGAGTCAATTCAGAATTCCCCAGCCCAAATTGCTTCATCCAAATTTTCTGCTGCCAAACGGATTGAGGAATTGTATGAGGAATTGTAACGGATCAATTTGACACAATTGTCTCGTTTTGAGACAATTGTACCAAATTGCCTCGTTTGCCAGCAAAATTTTTGGATGGATCAATCTGCCTGAGGTATTTTGAATTGATCCGTTTTGAGTCCATTTCAATTACCTGGGGTGTGGGCAGGTAATTCGAATTGACTCGTTTTAATTGCCTCGTTTATAAAATGAGACAATTGATCAAATTGACTCATTTATAGATTGATCCATCCAAACGACCCCTTCTTTGTCTATGTTATAAAAAAAAAAAAAAAATCAATCCAACCACCAAACGAGACGACCAGGGTTTTGGTCTATGAACTGCCACCGGTTCGAGGGATTGAATCTGAAACTGTAATCACCGACATCACTCGAGTTTCCACTTCCCCCCTCCTTCCTTCCAGCATCCAATTGAATTGAACATCAGTAAGATACCTCCGGTTTCCAAGAACCCTAACTCGGCCATTTGGTTTCTCCCGCCGAAGCCCGAGTGGATGGACACTCACTCTCACCTGACTGCACCCAATCGTTCCCGCAGTTCCCAGTCACCGTCCCCTTCCCACTCCGCCTCCGCCTCCGCCACCTCGTCTATGCACAAGCGCAAGCTAGCCGCGGCAGCCTCGGCTGCGTCTGACGACCACGCTCCTCCTCCATTCCCTCCCTCTTCCTTCTCCGCTGACACTCGCGACGGCGCGCTGACCTCCAACGACGACCTCGAGAGCATCTCGGCCCGCGGAGCCGACTCCGACTCCGACGATTCCGACGCCGTCGTTGACGAAGACGACGACGAGTTCGACAATGACTCCTCTATGCGCACATTCACTGCTGCTCGTCTGGAGACGAATGCCGGCGCCTCGGCTGCTGGCACGGGCTCTGGTGGGGTCGGGGGAGGGACTTCTTCCTCCGGTCGTAATTCGAAGCTAAAATCGGAGAATGCGACGGTGAAGATTGAGAATCCGGGCGGCGGGAAGGATGGAGGTCTCGCTGGGACGGCTGCAGGGGGTTCCGCTACTGCAGGGAGCTCGGCCGCAGGGGCTGTGGCGAAGGAGGATTCTGTCAAGATATTCACCGAGAATTTGCAGACGAGTGGTGCTTATAGTGCTAGGGAAGAGAATCTGAAGAAAGAGGTGTAACTATTGGAATTGAGAAATTTCATTCCTTTCTTACAATTGTGTTTAGGATTTGGAATTGTTGAACCAGGCGCTCTTCTTCTCTTTTGATCATTTCTCAAATTGGGGATTACGTTTCAGGAAGAAGCTGGCAGGCTCAAGTTCGTTTGTGTTTCAAACGATGGAGTTGATGAACATATGATTTGGTATCTGATTCTTTTTGCTTCAGCGTTTCTCTAGCTTTTCCAGCTTCCATATTCTCCTGTCTTTTTTTTTTCTCTTCTGGAACAATATGCATGATCTACTTTCAGTTTTATGCTTTCTCGAAGCATCTATAAGCATTTGATTTCTCCCTGACAGTGAGCATGCGAGTTTCTCAGTCAGCGTTATTTTCTGGTCATCAGGTTGATAGGTTTGAAGAATGTATTTGCCAAGCAATTGCCTAATATGCCCAAGGAGTACCTGGTCCGTCTTGTAATGGACAGGTAAAGCCATAAACTCTGCTGTAAGTTTTGTGCCATAAACTGTTTGGCAATTCATGTCACTGATTGCAATTTTATTTATGTCACCTGTTAAATCTTCTCTGGTTTTATTTGCTTTGCAGAACTCATAAATCTGTAATGGTTATCAGACGTAATCTGGTTGTTGGTGGCATCACATACCGTCCCCATGCCAGGTTAGTTTTCATGTATCCACCATGTCATCTCCATACGAAAAAAGTATAAAGTTCATCCTTTATTTACAGTTTTTTTTTGCAGCTAGAACCCATATAAACTCGAGTAAATTGGTTGGATAAACTGGACCAGTGATCATACTCATTCTTTTTGCCCCCTTGTCATAGCGTAAAAGCAGTTCCTTGACTTCAGTATATTGATTATTTCAGTTACTAGCTTGAGATTTGTGGTGTCCTCATGTAGCAATGTTCTTAAATGTATGTTTACTTTATATGCCACTTAGACAGCAGTTCTGACCACATAAATGTTTGTATACTATCCATGGAATGTCTGTTTACATTATATGTCATCCAGACAGCAGTTCTGTCCACATAAACTTGTGTATACTATCGATGGAAAAAGTTTCCTGTTTCACCATATGCTCATGTTAACCCTCTCATGTCTTGTTACCGCAGCCAAAAGTTTGGCGAAATTGCTTTCTTGGCAATCTCGTCGGATGAACAAGTGAAAGGTTATGGCACAAGATTGATGAATCACTTAAAGCAGCATGCACGTGATGCTGATGGCCTCACTCATTTTCTGACTTATGCTGACAACAATGCTGTTGGTTATTTTATCAAGCAGGTGGGTTGTCTTTGCTTGGATTTTATGATTTATGGTCGGGTTACTCATAGTAAACTGCTGATAGTTGAATCCATATTGAACATTATACCACAGCAACATGTCATCAGTGTCATTCATACTTCTGATCTTATGAGCTCGTCTACAAGTTTGCTTCACTTGCATTTGCAAAACTTATTCTGGTGTTGGCTCTTTTGTGTGATGGTTGACTCATTTATTCCTCTAATATCACCAATTCTCCTGTATATTGTGTATTTCCAGAAATGATTACTGATACAGTTTCTTAATACTTGTAGGGTTTTACCAAAGAGATCTACTTGGACAAAGACCGATGGCAGGGGTAATGCAAATTCATAAACTTAATAATTAATCTCTCTCTTAGATGAACAAGTCTTTGCTTCCTTGAATCTCCGAGACACTTTTTTTCCCCTTTGGGACGAAGGTTGGGTACATAGTTGCAACACTAGGGTAGGTTTGAGCTGGTATGCAACTGTGCTAATAAGTAATAACTTAAACTTAGCTTAGATCTTGTGATTGAGTGACCACTATGCAAATAAATTGAATGCCTATGTGATATTATTGGTAAAAGATAACTTTTAACTCCTTTTGGATGAAAATGTGGTCCTTAATCAAAGAAACAAAGAAAGTTCGCCCGAGAAATGGTGTTGTGCGCGTAAGGAAGGCCTTGCTTGATGGAAGCAGTTCCGAGCAACTCTAGCCGTCATTGGAAATATTGGATTGTTCACCAAATAACATGAGTACATAATATAGAGCCGCCTTCCTCTGTTTTGGATGGTAAATTTCATGTATCATGACTTTTATAGATGAAAATTCTCTTCTGTCTAGTAAACTACACTCGTGTTTCAGAAGTATATAGTCAAGACTCAAGACCTGACAAACCCTACACACCCATGATCCGATGTACTTAAACTTTTCCAGCAGCCATGCTAGAAAAGAATCAACTACAGCCTTTCCTTTCTAGCCAAATCTTACCTTCTTGACATGTTCCGGTGAATCATCTAGTTTGCTTGTGTTCCTTTGAATCCAGATATATCAAGGACTATGATGGAGGCATCCTCATGGAATGTAAAATAAATCCTAAACTTCCATATACCGACTTATCAACCATGATTCGTAGGCAGAGATTGGTATGTCTTCTTTTTTTTTTTTTTGGTAGAAATATGTCTTCTTTTCTGGATGCTGTGTATGACTCAAAACATGTTCCATTACTGACTGTACTCAACATGATTACTCTCATGCCCTCTGTTCACCCTGCAACCTGCATTACAACTTTGGATATATGGATGAAAATATATTGGTTTGCCAAGTCTAGCTACAATAGTATGGACATTTGTTTGCCATTGGTTGTCGTTCGCTGCGTTTTCTTGTCTTGGTATATTTCAGGCTGGTGAAAGTCAGTCTTCTTTTTTGGTAATTATAGGCTATTGATGAGAAGATAAGAGAGCTATCCAATTGCCACATAGTTTACCCTGGGCTTGACTTTCAGAAGGTAAGCAGTGACTTCCAATTCAGTTTCTGGTTCATGAACTAAACTCCTCCATCTAAAAGACTTCAATTACTTTTCACTCCTTAAGGCATTTAGTACTATACTCGTCTTATCTGAAGTGCTCAATTGGCTAAGACAGTAGGTCGTATTACATTTAATTCTTGAATTTTTTTTTTTCTCAGAAAGAAGCTGGTGTCCCGAAAAAGATCCACAAAGTTGAGGATATCCCTGGCTTGAGTAAGTTTATTGTGTTGGCTGTTTGTAACACTGGATAAATTTTGTTTGATAACATGCATGAATTAATCATTAGAGAACTGTGACGGAATTGTCATAGTGACCTCCTTTCAATATTTTGGCATTAACAGGAGAGGCTGGGTGGACTCCTGATCAATGGGGTCATTCCCGGTTCAAAAATTTAAATCCTTCCACAGACAGCACAACTAATATAAAGCACTGGGCAGCCTTCATGCGCTCCCTTCTAAAGGTGAATTTCTTTCTTTATTCTTCTCTCCTCGCATATTTTGTTCACTTGTGAGTTTCTTCTGATTGTGCCAATAACAGATGGTGATTACGGTGATGTACCTAGGGTTGCTTGCTTTAAGCGGCTTTTAGTTACCGAATAGTTGAAAGTAGGGGAATTTTGTTGGTTTGGTCAAGGGAGAACCAACAACCAGTCAGCGATGACATCTGATAGGAATACTGCATCAAATCTAAGCTGGGACACAGGAATAACTCTTACAGAAACTCTGAAAACGTTCTTCTTAGCCAATGTCTGAAACCCGGACCATTGGCTCTCTTACATAGAGACGTTACAAGCATAAGAAGTAGATTCCTGCCAAGAAACGTATTGATAATGAATCCTTGTTAGAAAACAGAAAGAAACATCTCCTTATTGCATGATGAATTCTAAACCCCGATTTTGGGATTAACTGGACTGAGTCAACCCTATTCTCCAAATCCTTGCCTAATGTGATTCCCATCTAATAGTGTAGCTCATACCAAGTCACAGTCTTATTTTAGTAGGGGATAATATTCAGAATATATAATTTGGCCAGACATCGGCAAATAGAGTGGTTGCTGGTCATCATATCAGCAAAATGAATTGCTTCTTGTCCAAATGTCTTCTCTGAGACTGAAGGTTTCCGTGTTTAGCAAGGGTATAGCTGTTTATAGAATAATATATAATTTGGTCACTACTTCAATCCTGTCATAATATCCTGCATGTGTCATGGGACGGTTCATTTATGAGTTTGCTGCCGCTTTTGATTTGTAGAATAATGATCTGCCATTTGCAATCCAAGGCAAATTCTTGATTCAGCCTGATGTTATTCAGATCCACAGATTTATGCTGTACTCCATAATAATTTTCTTGACAGGCAATGCATGATCACGTTGATGCTTGGCCATTTAAAGAACCAGTCGATGCTCATGATGTTCCTGATTATTACGAAATCATCAAAGATCCCATCGGTAAGAAGATAGTTTTCACCCTTTTGTAAACAGTAACACTTGTAACAAGCAGTGTCTAGAATGCTTTCCCTGCTTGATGCTCGTTACTACTATTTCTTGTTTGCTCGGTCTGTCCCATACAAATGTTTCATTTTTTATGTCATCATTTTTTTGTCAGCAGTTTGATGTTGTGCACCCTTTTCTTCTTTTCAGATCTTAAGACAATGTTGAAAAGGGTAGAGTCGGAACAATATTACGTAACCTTCGACATGTTTGTCGCAGACGTGAAACGTATGTTTGCCAATGCACGAACATACAACTCCCCGGACACTATTTACTACAAGTGTGCAACCAGGCATGATCAATCGCGTTATCCACCATCATCTCTCTTAGCCTTTTTCGTTTGCTTCCTTTCCGCTCTCAAAACGCTTTCTTCGAATCCTTTGTTGTTGCTAATAATGTATTGGAAATCCTTGTTACAATATTGCAGGTTGGAATCCCATTTCCAGAGCAAAGTTCAATCTGGTCTCCAATCAGGTGCCAAGATTCAGCAGCAGTAAACAATCTAGTCTTGTATGTATATAGACTAGTAATTAAACCCGATGGTGCCCGATGTTGAGCTCCACTGTGTTAATTGGTCTTGTGTTTCAATTGTATGCCCACTGGGAATCAATGTTTTTAAGACAGTAGTCATTAGATACTATTTAACAAGCTGTCTTTAACTCCCAGACATAGAAGCTACGATAGTCCTTTTGCCCTTGCAATCTAATTTGCTCCATTGTTTGTCTTGTCAGAAATGACCATTTCGGTACCACGACTCAATATTAGGGTTCGGATCGCGTTGTCATTAATCTAAATGTCACAACATCATATTGATCAAACATCTATACGAAATAAGGAAATGACTTTCGAGAAAAGCAATAGAAATGGAGGGTAAGTGAAATATGTTGATTCTTGATGGCAGCCCTACCTTTTTGCACAAGTAACTTTCCAAGTAGGACCAAGGTGTCTGAAGGAAAACCAACGTATGATTCTTAAAATGAATGAAAGTAACCAGCAGTTGAAGGCATAGGAAATTGAGAAATGATATATTATTGGGTTAATTGCATGGTTGGTCACTGAGATTACAAAAAACGTTCATGTTTGGTCACTGAAAATATTTAAATCCAATCTTGGTCACTCAAATTAGTTAAATGGTTCAAGTTTGGTCACTCTCCGTCCAACTCCGTTAAATATGTCTGATGTGGCAGTCAACCCTCAAAGTTGACCGTTAACTCGGTGACGTGGTAATTAAATATAATAAATAAAATAAATTTTAATCTTCTACCATTTTCAACTCATTTTCACAATAAAGTAAAATAAAAAAATAATTATAATCACAAATTGAAAGAGTAGCTTCCTCCTCTGCCAGACCGCCACCACATCCCTTCCCGCAATCCCCTCTGGAAACAGAGAGAAAAAAGATGATAAAAAATGGCTTCTGGGTTCCCCGGCGGAGGAGGAATCGGCGGCGGTTCAGAGAATCACCATTGCATTCACGTTCTAGTGAATCACCATCGTCAGTAAAGGGAGATTGGATGAGGCTAGGCTCGTTTTGCAGAGGCTTCGCGGTAGGGAGGATGTTGCAGGTAAAATAAATATTTTTACTGTAGATTGTAAATTTTCCTTCTTCATTTTTGATTTGGTTGTGAATTTAGGATGATTTTCATTCTTCCAATTATACAACGGTTTACTGTTTAATCACAGGGGAGATGGCTCTGCTACTAGAAGGACTCGGCGTGGGGAAAGACCCATCAATAGAAGAATACATAATCGGACCAGCCAACGACGAAGGCGAGCCACCGGCGGACAAGATCGGAGAAGTCCGACTGTACGGCACCGAGGAAGGCGTGTCATGGGTGGCAAAGCCTAATAGAAGATACAACAAGATCAACTGCAGGAGCTGACTTGAAGAAGAAGAAAGAAGAAGTGTTATGCAGTCGATGAAGAAGAAGCTGTGCATTGGTTTGACGAAACGGCAACGTTCTGCCTCAATCCAGAAACGCAGTGGTGGTAGCAGAACGGAGTCGTTTCCTTTAGTCAGTGGTTGTTAGCTTGAGTGTTCGAGTTAGACAGGTGTCGAATGCTTAGTGGCTAGATTTGTATTTCAGTTTCTAATTACTGTAGATTAGCCGTTAGTTGCTTGTACAGCGTTTAAACATTCAGTATATAATGGAAAAATGCAGAAAAGAAGATCTCTGTTTTTGAGAGCTCTCTTCACCAAAACCCTAAGTTTTCTGTTTCTTCTCATGGTATCAGAGCCTGGTTGGCTCTAGGCTGCTCTAGATCCAACCATTTTTCGTTTTTCTTTTTCATAAATCTCAAGTTTTCACGATGTCTGGCACTGATGAGTTTGTTGCTGAGGAAGTTGCTGCAACAAATGATGATGTTCTTTCTGCAAATGATGAAACCCTACCTCGGACGCCGCCGAGAAATCAACGTATGAATGCTTTTGTTCCGCCGATCATTCCCCATTATGACGATCCCTACCTGAATCCTTACTATCTCCCTGCTCACGATGGTGCTCTGACCACCATCATCTCGATGAAACTCACGGATCAAAATTACAACCTCTGGAGCCAGGTAATGGAACTAGCTCTTAGTACTAAGAACAAGCTGCAGTTTGTGAATGGGTCTATACCAGTCCCAGATCTAGGGGATCCCATATGGCAGTCTTGGCATCGATGTGATAGCACTGTTAGGTGCTGGATCTATAACTCTCTTTCTGAGGACATTGCACACAGTGTCGTTCCATATAGGATTGCTAAGGATGTTTGGGACAATCTTAAGGACCGTTTTAGTCAGGCTGACTATATCAGGGTGTATGAATTGAAGGAACAGATAAGCAAATTGGTTCAAGGAGAACAGACAGTGATACAACCAAATGGCAGGAATACAAGATGTATAGGCCTGTAACTTGTTGCCCTTGTGCAAATAGTCCTTTCTTTACCATTCAGCGCTATGAAGAGCAAGATTTCATTATAAAATTTATGCAAGGTCTCAATGATGTTTATCAAACAGCTCGTACCCAAGTGCTGATGAATTCTCAGCTGCCTAGCATTGAATCAGTCTTTAAACAGATGATTCAGTTGGAGAGACAAATGAAGGGAGTTGGAACTGGTAAAGGACGAGTTGAGTCCTTGGCACTTCTTACTGCTGGACAACACAGGCCTGGCCAGCAAGGTTCAGGTGGACACCAGGGTCAGCAGAGGGCTGGACAACAAAGTCAACCTAGCAAGAATCCCAGAGATTATACTCCTGATGGGAAGAAGTGGTGCAGATTTTGCAAAAAGGAATTTCACACAATTCAAGAGTGTTTCAAACTGAAGAACAAGCAGAATAGAGAAGGAGGAGGTGCTTCTTTTGCTGGTTCAGTGGAATCAAACGTGACTGATGGAGGGAGTTCAATTTCATCAGGTCACAACAGGAGTGATTCAGACTTATCTCTAACAAGTCTGTTAACTACTTCACAGTTTGAGAAACTGAAGCTTATGTTGGGAAGTGGTTCACCCTCTCCTTCTCCACCAACATCTCCTCATATGACTACCAGAGGGAGTCCTTCTGTCAATGCTGTTCATAGATCAAGTGCACCATCACATTTCTCAGGAACTACCTCAGGTAAGGTTGTCTGTTCCAGTGTTTTCAATCCCACAGTTTGGATTCTTGATACTGGAGCCACAGATCACATAATCTGTGACATTCACTTCTTCCTGAAATGTAAACCAATTGAGCAGATACATGTGAATTTGCCAAATGGCCAACAGGTATCTGCAACTCATATTGGAATTGTCACCTTGCCTTGTGGATTGTTTCTCACTCAAGTCCTCTTTGTTCCTAGCTTTACTTACAACTTGGTTTCTGTAAGTAGATTGACCCAAAACCATCCAGTTTCCTTAGTTTTTGAATCCAATTTTTGTGTCATTCAGGACCTTATTACTCGGAGGAGGATTGGTTTAGCCCAAGTGGATAGAGGTCTTTACCTATTTTCAGAGTCCAAGAGTCAAGTATTTGGTGATACTAAGGATTTTCCCAGTATAGCAGCAGCAGCTTTCAACTTTCAGAGTCAAGATTTCAATATCTGGCATGCCAGATTAGGCCACCCTTCTTTGTCTAGATTGAGAGAAGTTAAGAATCATTGTTCTGATGTAACTCTTCCTTCCATTAAACACTGTGATGTTTGTCATTTCTCTAAGCAAAAGAGGTTGCCATTTCCTGTGAGCACCTCAACCAGTACACACATTTTCTCTCTTGTTCATGTGGATATTTGGGGGCCACTTAATACAGTTTCTGTTGATGGTTTTTCCTGTTTCCTTACTGTGGTAGATGATTACAGTAGGGCTGTATGGGTTTTTCTTCTTAAATCCAAGGCTGAAGCAAGGTCCACCTTGCAGTCTTTTTGCCAAATGGTACAAACTCAATTCTCTGTACCTGTTAAAACCATCAGATCAGACCAAGGGGCTGAGTTCCATATGTCTGACTTTTACTCAACCTATGGAATAGTTCATGAGATGAGTTGTGCTTATACAGCACAACAGAATGGCCGTGTGGAGAGAAAACACCAGCATCTTCTCAATGTTGCTAGATCTTTGAGGTTCCAGTCTGGTCTCTCCCTTTCTTACTGGAGTTACTTTGTTCTTCATGCAGCATATCTCATAAATAGAACACCTACCCCTCTTTTGAATCACAAAACCCCTTTTGAGTTGCTGCATAAGGTTCCTCCTGATTTTATGAGTTTAAGAGTGTTTGGATGCCTTGCTTATGCCACTGTGGTAGAAGGGCACAAACACAAATTTGATCCCAGAGCAAGAAAATGTGTGTTTATAGGCATTCCAGTTGGAATTAAAGGTTATAGGTTGTTGGATTTAGATACCAAGAGGGTCTTTGTCAGTCGAGATGTTGTTTTCCATGAACACATCCTTCCTTTTTCCAAAAATACTTCCACAGAAGGACATCAATTTGATCCTCCTTCTGCTCCCTTGTCTTCTCCCAGTTCAGAGGGTCCTATTTGTCCATGTCCTCTTCCTATTTTTGAACCTGATGCAGTGGTTTATTCTTCTCCTCCCACTGCACCCTCCACATCTTCCCCACCTGTTTCACCAATCACACCTGCTGCTGTCACTGAGCCAAGTAGTATTTCCACTACTGCTCCTTCCTCCTCCAATTCACCTCTTCCTTGCCCACCCCCCTCTCCTTCCAATTTCATTCCTCGTAAATCCACAAGGCAAAGTGTTTTTCCTGCTAAATATGATGATTTCTATGTTGGTTCTGCTCAAGTCAGTTGTTCTCCCAGTGTTCTTCCCCAAGATCTTACTTTTCTTACTCCTGCACAACAACATTATGCTTTCCTCCTTGAGAAATTGGTTGAGCCACGCTGCTATGCTGAGGCAGCCAATGACCCAAGGTGGAATGCTGCCATGAAGGAAGAACTATCTGCCCTTTATGCCAACCAAACCTGGGAGATCACTGACTTGCCAGAGGGGGTCAAACCTGTTGGTAACAAATGGGTCTATAAAGTCAAACTCTTTCCAGATGGGACACTTGAAAGGTTTAAAGCAAGGTTGATAGCAAAAGGGTATACACAGATTTATGGAATAGACTACTGTGATACCTTTTCACCAGTAGCCAAACTGAATTCAGTTAAGATGTTACTTGCAGTTGCTTCTACACAGAACTGGCATTTACACCAAATGGATGTAAATAATGCCTTTTTGAATGGTGAGTTGGATGAGGATGTTTATATGGACCTACCAGAGGGATTAAGGGATAAGCCAGAGTATAAGGGGAAGGTTTGCAAACTGAAAAAGTCCCTCTATGGACTTAAGCAAGCTAGCAGAATGTGGTATGCTAAGCTCACTGAGTCCTTGTTGGAAAATGGTTTTACACAGTCTAAATCAGACTATTCAATTTTCCTTACAAAGGTGGATGGAGTTCTGGTGGTTGTGATTGTTTATGTGGATGATATTGTGATAGGGAGTGCAAGTCTTGAGGCAGTCAGTGCAGTCAAACAAATGTTGAAGTCTCTGTTCAAAATGAAGGATCTAGGTAATATGCAGTATTTTCTAGGTCTGGAAGTTAATAGATCAGAGGCTGGAATTCATGTTTCACAGAGGAAGTACTGTATTGAGCTTCTAAAGGAAGCAGGATTTGATGAGTGTAAGGCAGCAAAAACTCCATCAAGTATTAAGCAGGTACTTTCAGCTAATGATGGTGGTCCCTATCTAGATATCAGCAATTACAAACACTTGCTGGGACAATTACAGTATCTTAATAGCACAAGACCTGATATCACTTTTGCAGTCCAACAGTTATGCCAATTTCAGGATGCCCCTACCACAGTTCACTTTAAGGCACTACAAAGGGTATTTAGATATCTGAAAGGGTCTCCTGGACAGGGTATATTTTACTCTAAGGATTCTTCAATGCAGTTAACTGGGTATAGTGACTCAGATTGGGCAACATGTCCAGATACTAGAAGGTCCTTGACAGGTTTCTCTGTGTTCCTAGGGACAAGTTTGGTCAGTTGGAAAGCAAAGAAGCAAAGCACAGTTTCAAGGTCCTCCTCTGAAGCTGAGTATAGAGCACTGGCTCTGCTGAGTTGTGAGATTCAATGGCTGATTCGATTACTGTCTGATTTTGGCATAGAGCATTCACAACCTGCATTGGTGTTCTGTGACAACCAATCAGCCATTCATATTGCTAAGAATCCAGTATTTCATGAGCGTACAAAGCACATAGAAGTAGACTGTCATGTGATAAGGGAAAGGCTGCAAAGTGGATTGATCAATCTGTTCCATGTCTCTACAGTCCATCAACTTGCAGACTTGTTCACGAAGAGTCTGGCTATTGACAGGTTTAACTTCCTTATGAGCAAGCTGGGAGTATCTGGAAGATCCTCGCCAGCTTGTGGGAGGGTAATAGAAGATACAACAAGATCAACTGCAGGAGCTGACTTGAAGAAGAAGAAAGAAGAAGTGTTCTGCAGTCGATGAAGAAGAAGCTGTGCATTGGTTTGACGAAACGGCAACGTTCTGCCTCAATCCAGAAACGCAGCGGTGGTAGCAGAACGGAGTCGTTTCCTTTAGTCAGTGGTTGTTAGCTTGAGTGTTCGAGTTAGACAGGTGTCGAATGCTTAGTGGCTAGATTTGTATTTCGGTTTCTAATTACTGTAGATTAGCCGTTAGTTGCTTGTACAGCGTTTAAACATTCAGTATATAATGGAAAAATGCAGAAAAGAAGATCTCTGTTTTTGAGAGCTCTCTTCACCAAAACCCTAAGTTTTCTGTTTCTTCTCAAAGCCGGTAGCCGGACAGAGCACCCTGGGGATTGCGTCGCGCCAGGGGAGCATGGCAAACCAGAATGTACCTCTAATGGATCCACTCGTCACTCTGTTCGGAAGCGTCCACGAGAACAACCTCCCGTCGGCGGCAGATCCATGTTCGGAAGCATGCGCGGGAGCATGTTCTTCCCCGGCACCTCCAGCATGCTCAACATGATCACCGGCACCGGCAATAATCAGGTACGTCTCACTGTTATAAAAAAGAAATCTGAACGGCCGCCGATTCCTTCTTCGCCGGGGAACCCAGAAGCCATTTTTTATCCTCTTTTTTCTCTCTGTTTCCGGAAGGGATTGCGGGAAGGGATGTGGGTAAGGGATGTGGTGGCGGAGGAGGAAGCTACTTTTTCAATTTGTGATTATAATATATTTTTTTATTTTACTTTATTGTGAAAATGAGTTGGAAATTGTAGAAGATTAAAATTTATTTTATTTATTATTTTTTAATTGCCACATCACCGAGTTAACGGTCAACTTTGAGGGTTGACTGCCACATCAGACATATTTAACGGAGTTGGACGGAAAGTGACCAAACTTGAACCATTTAACTAATTTGAGTGACCAAGATTGGATTTAAATATTTTCAGTGACCAAACATGAACGTTTTTTGTAATCTCAGTGACCAACCATGCAATTAACCCATATATTAGGGCATTGCTATTCGTCGCCCTAAAATAGTTTATTTGTCGCCCTAACTCTTATTAAAATGACTCTAATACCCTTTGTTTAGTTTTTTACTTTTAAAAAATATAAACGCTAATCAAACATATATAACTTAATAACTATACCAAATAACAAAATAAATTATTCAAAAAGTAAATTACAAATACACTAAAAACAAATTCAACGAAAAAACAAATACAATAAACAAAATTATAAATTGACTGGGATTATCGAAGAAAAAAAAACTCAACTCCGACGGTCAGCTTCTTCTTCCTTCTTGGCATACCAAGCGGCAACATTCTTCTTCCTCCTCCTTCTGCCTCTTTCCTCCTACTTCTTCTTTCTCCTTCATCAGCAACAGCAACGGATAGGCGGAGTGGGGGGAATGGCAACGACTGTGTGTTGGGGTGGGGGATGGCCACGACGGCTAGAATCCGGCTCGGCGAAATGCAACGATGGCGGGTTGGGGGAATCGGAGTCACGGCGGGTTGGCAAACGGCAGCGGCTGCCGAGATCCGGCAGGTGGACGGGACGATAAGGAGCAGAGAGTGAGATTGGGTGAAATTGTGTTTGTTTAGAGATTAGGGTTTGAATTTGGGATAGGGGCATCAACGTCATTTTCATACGGTTTAGGGCGAAAATATTTAAACTTTAGGACGACAAATAGCAATTCAGATATATTATTATTGCATATTGAAAATGTAGGAAAATGATACACGACAGTCGGTGCATACAGAATTAATTCAAATTTAATAACTCCCGATTACTTCACAGAAAATGCCATCTATAGCATCTTTCATTTCTTTTTGTCAACTTTGGCCACTCCAAGATGGGGAAGTCCAGAGGTGTTTGCCGCTGGCAAGGCTGGCCGTTGCTCAATACCTGGACCAATTTGCTTCTGCATGTGCGGCATCAAAGTTGAGTTCAATCCATTTCCATCAATGTTGGTAATTCCGTTCAGAGCATGGGGACCTGGGACGGGTACGGAACCGACACTGTATTTATTGGCAAAGCTGCTGTTCTTTATTGGTTGCATGTGTGTAGCTGGAGTCATATTTGGAAGTGGTCGATGGATGGACTGGTTCGTATCCATGTCTGCTTGGCCCCCGCCAGGGTATTGCTGCATCCCCATGTTAGGTACTACCGCATTCGACCTTGCCAGAAGCAATGGGTTCAAACCTGTCACCCGCTTCACCTGTTCTTCAGCCATCTTCACCTGTAAAGTTCATATAATGATTACGTTTTTACCTGATAAATCTCAGCACAGTGGTTTTCGGTGTCCGACCATAATTTCATGACCAAACATGATTCTCTATTTCACCCGTTACTAGTCTATGATTGGGAAACGGTCATGAAGCTATGGAGAAGGAACTTAATCATACCTTTGCCCTTAATGTTTCGATATTAGCCTTCAAGACCCTGTTGTCAACAGAGGCTTCATCACACTTGTGATTCACATCAGTGAGTCTCGACAAAAGAGTAGTGCGTTCATCCCTGAGCTGACCTACCTATTGCACAGGAACACACCATTTAACCCGCTGTTAAAAAGACGACAAGAGATATGGTGAACACGGTATTTGCATTATAATCAACCGCACCTGTGTTTCAAGTTCACTGAGTTGCTCTTGTTTTCTTCTTCGGGAGCGTCTAGCTGATTCTCGGTTTGACTTCATCCTAAAAGTATAATCAGCACACAGATCAAAACATGCACATAAAATTGGCAAAAAAGAACACTATGATAAATGAAGTTTTAACTTTCAATCAATGCGAGTCTTGATAGGTTTGAGGCAGTTAAGAGACAATATATCAGATTTGAAAGTGTGGATAAATTTTAAGAGAAAATTAGCTCAACACGTTGGCCTAGTTGTAATGGGTGTACAGATCTTGGGGACAACATTTCACTTATAAAAAGAAATATTAAACGACAACTAGGAGCTTAATTCGTGTGGCTCGAGTTAATTATATATCGTTGTAAAGCTTTCTGGACGGGGCAACTGACTATCTGACCTTAAGACCTCATGCCGTTTTAGTTAATCAAGTGTTGGTATTAAAACTTTTGATACAAAAATCAGTTCATTTCAGCACAAATTTGTATATGGTTAAGATTAGCTACTACTGGCTGATCAGTGTTTAGGCATACGAAGACTGCGCTAATTCGAAACTGTTACATTCATGAATTCTGGTTGTGTTTGGATTAGACTTAGGTTTAGCCGTTTAGGGTAGAAGAAATGGCAGAATCCTCAACATTTCACTTACAAAAGCACAAACCAAACAGTTTGTTATGTTCTCCAACTGTGAAAAGCTTGACTAACTAACAAGTTTTTCAGCAATGATCATTTAGTACGCAGGATGTGCCACCCATCACTTAAAGAGAGATATTACTATCAGATAATAAAAACTTAAAGATAGATAATCGCTACAGGAGAAAAGAATGTGGTAAGCAAACACGGAAATGGTGCAACAGAGAAGGGCAATAATATTTAGAATCATGCAGATATTGAAGACCAATGGAAACTGGAGAGAAGCATTTTCAGTACCTCCTTATGCGCTTCACATCAGTAGGACCTCCATTGGTTCCAGTGTCGCCTTCAAGATCATCATCGTCTGAATCATCTCTTGAAGAGCCACTGGTTGTTTGTTTAGTTTGCAGTTCTTGTTTCTTTCGTATTGTGGGTAACGACGGAATCCCAGGTGACCCATGGTCAGCCTCATTCTGTGCCATTGACTTGCTCAAACATGCACCTGCCTCATGCCAATGATATGTAAACAAGCTAAACTGTCAGTTGGACGAGGCCAAGAATGAAAACCATAAATCAGTGGTCAATTTGTAACAACTGTCAACTAGAAAACCATTTCCCCAGTGATCATGGGAGAGGTGAACTCACCCTGGATTTTAACCTGTGGCTCAACATCATCTATAAAAAAATTATAACATCTTTTAAGATCCAGTTGAAGAACATGAATGCAAGCAAATGATTTTAGTACAAAAACAAACCCAAGTTAAACCACAAAGCATTCAAGTCACTCATAAACCACACACAAAAGCAAGTGATAAGCGGTAACATAAGAAACCACTCCTGTCTACCAGGTGCTGACCTAACAAGTTGATACTCTAGGGAAATATAGACAATTGCCAAGCACAAGTTTAGGATTAAGGGATTTTGGGTAATAGCACAGAGAGATGCCATCATACATGCTATTTATTCTTGTGCTTGCTCACAACAACATTCAGAAATAACCTAGGCATCTCTTGTACAAATCACATTCCGCAAATCAGAGGATTGGCAAATACCCGCCAGAGATATCATCATATCGACTCCCAACTCTGCAAGCCATTAATCTGACCATGAACACCATCACGGAAGCAGCTAGAAACCTTTTCTGTGAACTTAGAATTGAAAGAAACTAATTAATAGATGATTTTGGACCCGATGTTCATATCCCTTACTACCCACCTACAAGTTCATTCCTTTAGCTTAGCAACATGCGTTTCCATAATTCAATTCTTCACAATGACCTTGGAAATCTATGCAGAGTAGTAGTAGTACTCACCCGGAAGTTGTGATCCCAAGTGAAAATTGTTAGCAGATGGAGCTGGAACTTGATTCTCAGGCGAAGGAGAAAAATCAGGAGGCTTCACAGCCGTTGTCTGCAATCAAACATCCAAAAACCAACCCCCAATCAAACACACAAGACATCGCTAAACTACAACAATTCTACAAAATTCATCCAAATAAAAAATCAACGCGCATATATACCCTGGTCATAGCCACGGCGGCGCAAGCCAGATCGAGCTGAGACTTGAGAAAAGCCCGGTACTCTTCCGAATCGATTGTAGCCATGGGAGCGTGATCCAGCGGCTGAGGAAGATGGTGAGGTTGAGGATGGAGCTGCGGGGGCTGCTGCCTGATCTCCATCACATCGCTGTCGCAATTGTCCGGCTTTGTAGTTGGCGGCGGCGGCGTGGGCGATTGCGACGGCACTGTGGTCGTGCTGTTGCTGGCGGAGGAGGGACCCGAGGAAGGGAATTCCTGGAGGAACCTCTCCAGGTCCCACTCGGATTGATTTCGGTTGATTTCTGGCGCCGGCGTCGTAGCCTGCCAGAAGGGGTCGGTGAAGTCGTCGGCGGAGAAGACGCTGTGCATTTTTTTTTCCTGTCTTTTCTTCGCCTTTTTTTTTTCTTCTTTTTCGGTTTCGTGTTTCTTCGACGATCAGAATTCAGAAGTGGTGTCCTTTTGGTAAATTTATAAAATTTAATCACAGCCTTTAGATGCAATTAGAAGGACATTAACACAATCCAACGGACCAGATTAGCGAGGGCTATTTCCGGGAAACAGACGGTATATATTTCCTATCTGCCGCCGGCCCTGTCGTCCGGCCTATAAAAATAAAAAATAGAAAGCAACATCGATTTTCCCTCTCGCATTCGCCTCTCGCATCGCCATGGCGTCCTCCACCGACGACCCTGGATTTACACAACGGAAGCGGAAGAAGAAGAAGAAGAAAGCTGTGTGGATCGGATCAGTGAATTACCAGAGGAAATCCGGGTGAGTATTCTGTCCCTCCTGCCCTTCAAGGAAGCGGTCAGGACTTGAATACTTTCAAGTAGATGGGTAGATGTATGGGAATCCGCTGTCACCGAGCTGGAATTTGATGCCCCAGAAACGCATCCAGTTTCTCACTCTGCTGCAGAAGATCCATTACTTTCGGAGAAATTGGCCGAGTTAAAAAAATTGGTGAATCGTGACAAAGAAGAACAGCAGAGGAAAGCAATCCTCACTGGATTCGGAATGAAGAGTAATTGAAGACGGCGTCGTCACGAAGAAGAAGAGAAGTGTTGTGGAAGACGGTGTCGTAGAGAAGAATGGATGCTGAAGACTTTAAATGAACGGCAGCGTTTTAGCTTTGTCTAGTTAGCCGTTAATGTTACTGTTAGTTTAAATCAAAGAACCAATGATGTATGGACACGTGTTACATTTCTGCTAATTACAAAAGTGGCTATATAAGCCACAAAGAGCTCAGCTTACAGCTGAGCTTCCCCTCCAATTTTTCCATACCCTACGTTTTTCACATGGTATCAGAGCAACCCAGGCCCTAGGGTTTGCGGTTGCACAAGCAAAATGTCAGGAGAGCAATCTACACCGCCGCCTGGCAATCAAGGAAGAACAAACAACAACAATGGCAACAGTGGTGCTTCCAATATCAGTGGAGTCCAATTTGGGTCCTTTGGTCAACAACAGCAGCAGCCATCAGAGGTCATTACGTTTGGTAACCCATTCTATCTCAACCCAAACGAAAACATGGCTCAATCTTTGGTTGCTGAGTTGTTTGATGGCACAAATTACACTATGTGGAGTAGATCTATACAAGTAATACTTAAAACAAAGAACAAACTGGGTTTCCTAGATGGGTCAGTGGCAATGCCTTCTAGGGATTCAGATATGTTTGGAATCTGGGATGCCTGCAATACAGTGGTGCTGTGCTGGATCCAAAACTCTATGACTAAAGAACTGCGAAGGGCAGTGTTAAATCACAGCAGTTGTAAGAGACTCTGGGAGGAACTTAAGAGGCGTTTTGGACAGCCAAATGCCATGAGAATTGCTAACCTGGAGGATGAGATTTTGGCTTGTAAACAAGGAACCAAGTCAATTAATCAGTATTACACAGAGATTAAGGGATTATGGGATGAATACGTTGAGTTTTGTCCTGTGGTTCCATGTGCTTGTGCTCCAGGGTTACTCATTCCTTGTGCTGCAGTAACTGCTTTTGTTCAAAAGCAGGAAACAGACTATCTCATTCGTTTTCTGAGAGGAATCAACCCAGAATTTGAAGTAATCAAAACTCAGTTGTTGATGCAAAAACCCCTACCAAGTGTTTCAGAGGCTGTTGATGACTTACTACAGCATGAACAGAAATTAAAAGCAGATGGATTGACTGGTGGGAAGAAGAATCAGTCATTGGCTCTAGCTGCAGGGAGTCAACAACAACAGAAGGGTTCTGCAGAAACCAACCAGGGTAAGAAGTATTGTCGCTATTGTAAGAGGACAAACCACAACATTGAAGATTGCTGGTGGTTGAAGAAGAAACAGGGAGAACAACAGAAAGATGGGCATTCAAACTCCAGTTCAAGTTCCAGTTCTAGCACACCAAGATTTGCTGGTTCTGTTGCTCAGAGTACTGGAAATGCAGCTGGTGATCATTATCCTGAAGGTAATACAACTACTGAAGGTATGAACCAAAATTCATTTGCTTTCACTGCAGATGAAATGGCTCGTCTCAGGAACCTGCTGCAAGTTGGTACTAATGCCTATCCTTTACCTCCTACCTCCCCATCCATCAACCATCAAGCCTTTACTGTCTTTCAACACCCCACATCATTCCCTAACTTCTCAGGTAAACATGTCACCTTTTCCTCTCACCTTGACCAAACCAGTAATTCCAACCTGTGGATAATAGACACAGGGGCTTCAGATCACATAGCTTGCTCCCTAAACATGTTTACTGCTCATAAGGAAGTTAAGGATACTTATGTTTTCTTACCTAACAAAACCAGGGTCATTGTAACCTGTATAGGCACAGTCCAATTACCCACTGGTCTATCTCTTTATGATGTACTTCTGGTCCCTACCTTTTCTTTCAATCTCATCTCAGTCAGCAAATTAACCCATGATCACCCTATTTCCTTACACTTTCATTCTGATCACTGTGAAATTCAGGACCTTCTAAGCCAGAGGAAGATTGGTTTGGCAAGAGAGTGTAGAGGTCTCTACCAGCTGGTTCTTCCTCAAAGTTCTACCCCTTTACCTTCACCAACTTTCCACCAAGCTGCCTCAACCTTCAACTACCAGACACAAGACCTTCACTTATGGCATTGGAGATTAGGACATCCTAGTCATGATAGACTTTCTTTGCTTTCCAAGACCATCCCTAATGTAACTAAACAGAAACCATTACATTGTGATGTCTGCCATTTGTCCAAACAACACAAACTGCCTTTTCCAATTAGTACCAATGCAGCACCTGAGATGTTTCATTTACTGCATATGGATATTTGGGGACCTTTATCAGTTGTTTCTTATGATGGTTATCAGTACTTTCTTACAATAGTGGATGATTGCACTCGTTGTGTTTGGATTTATTTAATGAGGCATAAAAGTGAAGTAAGGGGCTTAGTACAAGGCTTCTGCAGTTTGGTTAAAAATCAGTTTGGGAAATCAGTTAAATCCATTCGCAGTGATCAAGGCAAAGAGTTTCAGATGTGTGATTACTTCTCTCAAGAAGGCATAGAACATCAGGTTTCCTGTGTAGAAACCCCTGAACAGAATGGAAGGGTAGAGAGAAAACACCAACACATTCTTAATGTGGCCAGAGCCTTAAAATTTCAATCTGGACTGCCTCTAGAGTATCGGAGTGAGTGTGTTTTACATGCTGTATACTTAATCAATCGCACACCAACCCCAATTCTACAAAACAGATCACCAGTTGAAGTTCTTTTCCAGAAACCAGCCTCTTTGGCACATTTGAGAGTGTTTGGTAGTTTGTGCTATGCATCTACCCTTGCTCATGGGAGAACTAAATTTGCCCCCAGAGCCAGACAGTGTGTTTTCTTGGGATTTCCAGCAGGAATCAAGGGCTATAAGGTTATGGATATCCATACCAAACAGGTTTTTGTGTCAAGGGATGTTATTTTCTATGAGAAAATACTTCCCTTCCACTACCCTGATGAATCTGGTTCACCAGATTCTACTACTTCTGTCTCTCCATCTATACCTGTTGCCCCATCACCTGCTCCTGGTTTACATGTATCCTCTCCTCAGTTTCATCCATCCATGGATGAAAGGGGGGAAGCTGAGTCTGAAGCTCTTGCTGATGACCAGTCACCTGACAGTGTACCAAGTATACCAACAAGTTCTCACAGCCAGCATGAACACTATGACTATTTTGATTCTGATGAACAGGAGTTGGTACAACAAGCTGATGTTGACTGTGATATTTTGGTAGATCAAACAATGGAGAACAGACCTCGAAGGAAGGCCACACTTCCAAGTAAGTACAAGGACTATGAACTTGACCCAAACATTACTTTTGGCACCTATGGGAAATCAAATTCCTGTAGTAGACACCCTTTGTGCTTGAATGTTGATGGTTTGAGCCATAATGATAGATCCTTTGCACTGAATATTATGAACCTAGTAGAGCCTAGGTCATACTATGAAGCAATCAAATCTGATGCTTGGAATAGGGCTGTAAACTCAGAGTTACATGCCCTAGAGGAGAATCAGACTTGGGATGTTGTCCCATTACCCCCAAATGTTAAAGAGATAGGGAACAAATGGGTATTTAAATACAAATTCAAGCCTGATGGATCCTTGGAAAGAGAAAAGGCCAGACTGGTAGCCAAGGGCTATACACAAGTCTATGGAATAGACTTTCTGGACACATACTCCCCAGTAGCTAAGATAAACACAGTAAAAACCTTCCTAGCAGTTGCAAGTTTGAGGAATTGGACTTTGGAACAGATGGATGTGTCAAATGCATTCTTACATGGGGAATTGGATGAGGTGGTTTACATGAAAATCCCATTAGGACTGAAAGTGAACTCAACAGGAAATCAAAGGATGACTTGCAGATTGAAAAAGTCCCTATATGGCCTAAAACAAGCTTCCAGGCAATGGTTTGCAAGGCTTACCAGTTTTCTACTGAAGTTGGGTTTCTCTCAGTCAATGTCTGATTACTCACTTTTTACCAAGTGGACGCATGGAAGGATAACAGTGATACTGGTGTACGTTGATGACATCTTAGTTGGAGGTGATGCCCAGAAGGACATAGATCAAGTGAAGACAGCCTTAAGCAGAGAGTTCAAATTGAAACTTCTAGGGCCATTGAAATATTTTCTTGGACTAGAAGTGATCAGGGATCAAAATGGTTTGAATGTGTGTCGAAGGAAATATTGTGTGGACTTATTAAAGGATACAGGTTATTTGGAAGCAAAGGGATGTAAGACTCCCATTGATACAAAGGTAAAGCTGAGTTCCAAGGGAACTTTGCTAAAGGATGGTGAAGTTTACAGAAGGCTGGTTGGTAGGCTTCATTATCTCACAATTACAAGACCAGACATTGTATTTGCAGTACAACAACTCTGCCAATACCAAAGGAATCCTTGTGAGGAACATATGCAGGCTGCCTATAGAGTATTAAGGTACCTGAAGTCTTCACCAGATCAGGGCATTCATTTCAGCAACACAGCAGAAGAGAAAATAGTTGGTTTCAGTGATTCAGATTGGGCAAGCTGCCCTGATACCAGACGTTCCATCACAGGATATTGCACATTCCTTGGCTCTTCACTTCTTACATGGAAGACCAAGAAACAAACGACAGTCTCAAGATCTTCATCTGAGGCTGAATATAGAGCCTTGGCACATTTGGTTTGTGAGATAGAGTGGTTGAAAAGACTGCTTGCTGAACTGACAGTGCAGGTACCACTTCCTATTCTTGTATATTGTGACAACAGGTCAGCTATTCACATAGCAGAAAACTCTGTTTTCCATGAAAGAACCAAGCACATCGAGATAGACATCCATGTTACAAGAGATAGGATTAAAGCTGGTTTAATCAAGCTGCAGCATGTTGGGACAGTGGAGCAGTTAGCAGACATCTTTACTAAAGGTTTGGATCGTTTCAGAATGAGAGAAATCATGAGCAAGTTGGGGATTACAGGTGCACCACCAACTTGAAGGGGGGTGACAAAGAAGAACAGCAGAGGAAAGCAATCCTCACTGGATTCGGAATGAAGAGTAATTGAAGACGGCGTCGTCACGAAGAAGAAGAGAAGTGTTGTGGAAGACGGTGTCGTAGAGAAGAATGGATGCTGAAGACTTTAAATGAACGGCAGCGTTTTAGCTTTGTCTAGTTAGCCGTTAATGTTACTGTTAGTTTAAATCAAAGAACCAATGATGTATGGACACGTGTTACATTTCTGCTAATTACAAAAGTGGCTATATAAGCCACAAAGAGCTCAGCTTACAGCTGAGCTTCCCCTCCAATTTTTCCATACCCTACGTTTTTCACAAATCGGGTTGTGGCAAAGCAGATGGAAAAGGACAAGCAAATCACCAAGTTGAGGGTTTCATTCACCTTGACTGATGAAGCCAAATCCGGTGAGGATGTTGATCGATGGGTCAAGTTCGCATTAATGTCAGGAAGGCTCGAGTCTCTTGACCTGTCCTGTTTCACGTATCACGGCTGGCACTATCGTTTCCCCAAACTCCAGATAGGTTGCCCCACTTGAAGCCCCTCAGATCTTTACGATTGAGTTGTGTTATTGTCCATGGAAAAATTGTTGAATACTTAGTCTCTAATTGCCCTTATCTTGAAGAAATAGTCCTAACCAATTCAGGCGGACTATGTAATCTCAGAATTGCTGCTTCGGGTTCATCACCATCACTTGCATTGAAGCGGTTGGAATTGAAGCATTGTGGGACTCTAAAGTCCTTGGAGATAGCTGATGCCCCTTGCCTCACCCACTTAACGCTTCTGGCTCCTGAGAAATATGATAGGTTGGTTAAACTGAGCATGAAAAATTGTGTTGCTCTTGTGGCTGTGAGCATAAGTGTTGGCTGTCTGGAACCCGATTTCGCAATTGCTTCCATCTCCAGCCATGCTGCTCAGTTGGTGTCCCTTACCATGAAGATTGACCCACGGGAGATTTGTTTCTCTCAAGTGGCCGACCCGCCTCGAGGTGCTGAATATCGAAACAGCAGGAGCCAGGAGGTGGCAACCACAGTTTCATCGGCTTGGTTACGTTGATAAACGCCTGTCCTCGATTGCACACATTGCGATTGTCGATCACCATGCTTGGACTAATGCAGGGGGTGTCAAACCCGTGTGTCAATAGAGTAAGTCGCCAGAGCATCAAAGTGGTGGAAGTTATTGGGTTTGATGGTTTACCATTTGATTCCGAGTTTCTGGAGTATGCGCTTGACTACTTCGTGGGGTTAGAGAGAATAGTTCTTAGCCGTTATGTTAAGACGGATACTGAAGCCAAAGAGCGTGCATTGGCTTTCAAATCTAGAGCATCTCCTGCCATCGATTTTGTTATAATTTAGTTGTTCATGGATCCACCAGCCTTGTGATGCTATTCTTTTAGTTTTAGGGCAAATCATTTGGCAGTAGAGATTCTATAAACAAAAAATGTGTCGTGTTTATTAGAATGTATGTCTATTATGAGACATAGCTGAATTTAGAGACATGTGCTTTTAGTATAAATTATTTTGAAATTGAAATTATAAAAGTAGATGTCCTGTGACATTTTTGGATGGCGGCCAAATCAATAACCTAGTAGTATAAATTTTTGTAGATTAATAAAGAATCAAATGAATATTTAACCAATCAATTATCTCAAACCTCTGTATGTTCTTCCTCTCTAATTCTCTTAAATTTGTTCTTTCCAAACCCAGATTACATTTCCTTGGATTTCTATCAGTTCTCTTAAAACCTCTATATTCTTTAGTACCAATTCTCTCTCATCCCATAGTCTATTTATTTTCCTTTGTCTAATTCTCATTTAATTCTATCTTTATGCTAACCAATCTTGGATACCAAGATCCTCTCTCATATGAGGTTGGCCATATGAGAGAGGTTATGGTGAGAAAGGTTAAATCCAAGGCACGTATGGCGTCGCTTACCTTGCAAAGATAAATCTAATGAGGCCCCTCCAGATTTGGTCTCCGGTCAAGGAGAGAAAGGTTAAATCCAAGGCACGTATGGCGTCGCTTACCTTGCAGGAAATCAATGCCTGGACGGAGGCGGCAAAACGACCGATGAGTGGAACAGGGGGAGCAGAGACAACTGATCTAGGGGGCCACCAGTTCGACCCCAAGGCGCCGATCAGCAACCTCAATGGCCCTCCTGCAGCCAAGGCGAGCTGAAGGGAGTGCTGCCAGTTTGTTTTCCTTAGGCCCGACTTCCTTTCACCCTTCTGCTCAAACCTTTTTTATGGTTACAAAACTTAAGATTCTTGCTTGGAATGTTGGAGGAGCAGGCAGCCGAGCATTCAAGCGTGCTTTGAAGCTGGCAATTCAGAACCATCGCCCTGATTTTGTGGTGCTCCTTGAACCGCAAATGAGTGGCGAATCGGCAGATGGTGTGTGTGATAAACTGGGTTTTCCGAATTCGTTTCGGGTGGAAGCAGAGGGTAGAGCGGGTGGTATCTGGGTGTTTTGGGACTCTGGGGTGTTCTCGGTACAGCCATTTTCTGCTTGTTCGCAGCACCTCTCCCTTCAAGTTGCTAGAGTCAACGAGCCACCATGGATGTTGACTACTATTTACGCCTCTCCTCGGCAGAATGAGCAGCGCACCCTTTGGGAAAAGCTCATTACACAAAGCAAAAATATTGAGATCCCGTGGTTATTGATAGGAGACTTCAATGCAATTAGCAAGCCGGATGAGAAGTCTGGGCTCCCGGCGAGGAATACTTTGAGGCGCTGTCAGTTGTTCACTGAAAGGATGAATTTGGCAGATTTGGTTGATCTTGGGTTCTCCGGTGCCAAGTTCACCTGGTCTAGAGGAGATAGTACCAGCACTTACAAGGCTAGTCGGTTGGATAGGAGTCTTTGCAACCTCCGATGGAACACGGTTTTCCCGTCCACGTCAGTGCTTCACCTATCCCGTGTCCAATCGGACCACAACCCAATCCTCACCAGTGTGGATATGGAGCCGAGCCAGCAGCATACTTTGAGGCCGTTCAAGTTTGAGGCTGCGTGGTTGACGAATGAAAGTCTCCAGGGGGTGGTGGCAGAGTCTTGGGATTCAGCTGCTTCGATGGAGATCGCCCTCAAAGGTTTAGCCGCCAAGCTTGAAGAATGGAACGGAGCCGTGTTCGGTAACATTAAGCAGAAAAAGAAGAGGCTTTTAGCTAGAATTAAAGGAGTAGAAACAAGGTTAGCGGGGTGTTTCTCTCCTGGTTTGGCTAAGCTTCACTCCAAGTTAGCGGCGGAGCTTGATAAAGTTCTGGAACAAGAGGAGCTTATCTGGTATCAGCGCTCAAGGGATCAATGGGTCAAGTATGGGGAAAGGAACACGGCCTATTTTCATCAGCAAGTTAACATCAGGCGACGTTTTAACAGGATTGAAGCGCTGCTGGATGATAACGATCTCTGGGTGACCGATCCTCATTCCCTTGCTCTTATTGTGTTTAATTTCTTCACTAATATCTATTTGCAGGATAACTCTCCTTCAAAGGTACATCCACATCCTCATGTATATCAAGAATAACAAAATCAACAGGATATGTGAATGCACCTACTTTAACAAGCAGATCCTCAATGATACCCCTAGGATGCACGATGGAACGATCAGCTAGCTGAATGCTCATCCTAGTAGGGCTAAGTTCACCTAGGTCTAGCTTTTTATACAACTTATATGGCATGACATTTATGCTAGCGCCTAGGTCCGCCAAGGACTTGCCTATATGCATGCTGCCAATAGTAAGAGGGATAGTAAAACTCCCTGGATCCTTGCGCTTTTCGGGCAGCTTGTTCTGCAGGATAGCAGAACACTCCTTGCTCAGCAACACTGTCGAGAGATCCCCAAGTTTCTTCTTGTTGGTGAGGAGATCTTTCATGAACTTCGCGTACTTGGGCATCTTCGACAGTGCCTCCAAAAACGGTATGCTGATGTTGAGCTGCTTCAAAATTGCCATAAACTTGGCAAACTCAGTCTCCAGCTTGTCTTTGTGTAGGCGAGTGGGAAAGGAAAGCTGGGGTACATGCTCCTTAACCACTGGTTGTGGCTTGGGAGCAGGGGCTTCCTTCTCCACCCGCACTTCTGCATCGTCGGCTGGAAGTGCTGAAGTAGGTAGTGGTTCCTCCTGTCTGGCCGGGACAGGATCAACAGATATGGTCTTACCGCTCCTGGTAAAAATGGCATCCAGCTGCTGGAGCTGGTGAGGATCCCGAGGATTCGGGATAGTGGTGGCAGGCAGAGTCCCCGGTGCCCTGGTAGTGTTTTGGCGGGCCAAGATGCCCACCTGGGTCTGCAGATCTTGCAAAATGGCACCCTGGTTCCGCTGACCTGCCTCCAGTGACGTGATAGCAGCCTGAGTGCTGGTCATGAATGAAGCTAGAATATTTTCCAGCTTTGTCATCCGGTCATCTGGGGCCGGAGCTGCTGCTGGCTCGGCAAACTGGCGTTGGGGCTGCTGGAATGATTGCCCCTGCCTAGGCTGGTAGGGCTGCTGCTGTGGGACCGGCCCCTGTCGAGCCTGGAAGGGCTGCCTCTGCTGAAAACCACCTGTTGGTGCTGGGAAACCAGGTGGTTTAGTGGTGTTGCTGCTCCAGGCGAAGTTGGGATGCTGGCGCCACCCTTCATTATATGTGTTGCTGTACGGGTCGAGGCGCCGAGCATTGGCGATGAAGTCCAACTGCTCTTGGGGAGTGGTAGACTCCCTCATAGCCTGGCAGTCCTCCACTAGGTGATTGGAGCTCTCACACCACTGACATTGAGCAACTGGAGGTGTAGCCAAACCTCTGCCCGGAATCAGACTGTTGGGCTGCTTCAATGTCTGCACTAGCTCAGCTACCTGCTGCTCGAGCCCGGATCTGGTCTCCATGGCGTGCACACCACGGTCCCGGGACTGTCTGCCTCTGCTGCTCTGTCCCCAGGAATGATCTCTGGCAGCCAAAGTATTAATCATTTGGTTCAGTTCTGGTGGAGTCTTAGTAAGAACATCCCCTCCTGGGCATAGAGACTCAATCACCCTCTGGCTGTATGGAGAGAGAGCACTGTAGAAGTTCCCCCCTGTGAATGCATCACTAAAGCCATGATGGGGACACTGCCAGAAATATCCCATGTACCGCTCCCATGCATCACGAAGTGACTCATCTGGCTCTTGGCGGAAGTGAGTGATCTCCCGCTGTATCTCGGTAGTCTTCGATGCCAGATAGTACCTGTGCACGAATTTGTCGGCCAGATCGTCCCAAGAGGTGATGGACAATGGGGGCTGGGTCTCCAACCACCTCTTAGCATTCCCCGCCAGAGAATGGGGGAAGAGATGAAGGCGGATGGCATCATCCGGGACACCATTCAGCTTGAACCCGTTCGTCAGCTGCAGAAAACGGGAAAGATGCACCCTGGCCTCCTCATCCTTCAAGCCATGGAACTGGATAGAGGATGTGATGAGCTGAATCCAGCATGGCTTGATCTCGAAGTTATTTGCTGGAATAGGCGGGTAGAGGATGACCGGGCGGATGTCAGCAATCCGAGGAGTGTAGTAGTACTCCAAGGTGGGACCCGGCTGCGGTGGATGATGAACTCCATGATCCTGGGGTATGGGGTTGTTCCCCAGGACCTGATACACCGGGGGAACCTGCTGCGGATTCCCCTGGTGCTGATTGTAGTCTCCGTCCATCCCGTACTCTTCTTCAGAATTGCTACTCAGGTGGCCGTCTATGCGCTCTTCCGTAGCCAGTCTAGCTCGCTGTTGTCTCCTGAGCTGGCGACAGGTGCGGTCAATCTCTGGATTCAACGGCAGTAAACCTCCTGACTCGCTACGCGTCATGCACTACCTGCACACACTCAAGCAAGCAAACCCGTGAAGGCACAAGTAGGACAAAGCAAACAAAGCAAAAAGAAAAGCTAAATTAACAGAAATCACTTTTCTTCAACAACCTAGCCGTCCCCGGCAACGGCGCCAAAAACTTGACTCACTTCTACTGTCACCCTAGGAATTGGCCAAGTGAAACCACTTCCTAAAGCGTAGTATAGCGGGTTTAGGTTTAATTATCAACCCGGGTCCTAGATTTGATGACTACTCAGTGAATTCTTGTTATCTAGCAATGAAACTGGGATGCAAGTCTAAACTATCAAACTAACAAAGCAAGTAAACTGTTGTATTCAGGTTAAGAGAGGTCACCCGGATATGGTTCCCCCTAGACTGCAGTTAAGCCGGATTGTAATTACCAAGTTTAGTTTCTATGATAGTTATACTGCGGAAGGTTCTTAAAAAGCCAGAAGTCTCGACTAAAGGTCTTCAGACCCTCTCGATCTGAGTCTCTAGCGGGCGACTAACCTCCACCGGAGTAAACAGATTGAGGCCTTAACAAACAAAACCTCCACTACCGGAGTGAATCCGGTACAGAATAGTGAGTTGGCTCCTCGACTAAAGTCACCAACTCCCTACCTTCAATCAAGGATACTCTATCAACCTAGGCAGATATTCTCATTCTAGGTCAAAGCAGAAACAACAGGAATTTGATCAAGATTCAAGTCATTCAATCATTCAAACCTCAATTGAACATAATCAAATCATAGAATCAGTACTTGGGTTCATACAAATCTAGGGTTCTCCATACCCAGATGAATGGGAGAACTACTCCATGGAGAAAGAGGCAAAAGCAGAATCAGACGCGGAATTCATACTGTAAAGGATGGATTCCTGCTCCTGGACGTTGATCGGCACTTCTCCAAGCTCAAGCTGGCCTCCAATGGTGTTGAAGATCAATCTAGGGCACTTGGAGACTCTTGTTCGTCACTTTCTCTCTCTAGGAATCGCTCTATCTCTCTCAAAACTCGAATCCCCTTCTCTTTGGCTGAAAATCTGCTTAAAAGGGCATCAGTGGCCAAAGCACGGTCGAGGGCACGGCCGTGTAATGCCTCAGCCCGCCCGTGCTTTGGCTAGGGTTAATTACACGGCCATTGTGTTGGTGAGGACACGGCCGTGCTTTGGGTGGACACGGCCGTGCTTTCAGCCCGTGTTTTGCCAATGTTTGCCAAACTCGAATTTGCTCTCGGCAGTAAAAGCACGGCCACAGAACACGGTCGTGTAATGGTTTAGGTGTGCCCGTGTTTTGGCTCCAGCTTGACAAAATGACTTCCGAATGCCCCGAAACTCGTGCTTAGCCTTTCCTTTGACACCTGGGACCTGAAACATGACAAAATAGCATAACCCGGCGTAAAATAGGCCAAAAATACACGACTATGCCCCTCAAACGGATAAGAACTAGGGGTGCAAATACGTGCAATTACATCGTTATCACAAGGATCGCTCAAGACCGTCAACTCCGAGGCAATACCCATCCATGGTGTTGCCAAGAATGTGCCATTGAAGATTGAAGGTTGGGAAGGTGTTGCCGACTTCAGCGTCATCACTATGGATGATCATCCCGTCATTCTTGGCGTCAACTTCATGGAGAATGAAGGCGCGGTGATGGCAATGAATTCCAACACTCTCTGCCTTGACAAGGGAGACAAGTTTTGCGCGGTGAAGATGTTGCGCGAAGAAGGGTCGAAGAGAGCTTTATCGGCCATGCAATTGGTGAAAGGAATGAAGAGGATGGAACCCACGTTCCTTGTCACTTTGCCAGCTAAGGAAGAAGGAGGCTCGGTGGCGCCAACACCTCTCATCGAGGGCGTGTTGGAGGAGTTCGTGGATGTGATGCCAAAGGAGCTACCAAAGAAGCTCCCGCCAAGAAGAGAAGTCGATCACAAGATCGAGCTTGAGCAAGGGGCGATGCCACCAGCAAGAGCACCTTATCGAATGGCCCATTCCTGATATGATCCTAATTCGAGAATCCACCCAAACTTGGACCAAAAATCAGAATTGCGCAACGTCGTACTCTTTTGGGGTTTTCTTCTTTCTACAATGACACGAAAATAAAGGATAGTCGCGAAAATCGATCAAACAGATCCGAACTCGTGAGAAGAGCCAGAAGGTATATGAAACCTTCCAAACAATCTCGAACCCGTAGAAGAGGCCAATCGATATAGTCGATGCTCGCCACAACTAAATGCGTTCTCTAGTTGATAAGAGACCACTCAATTCTCCCGAATCCTCAAAGGAGAGATTAAGCAAACGTTCACCAAGGAACTAGAGTAAACACTCAATGTAATTGATAACTGAAATCTTGGGTACAAAATTAGTAGGTCTTACACTCTCTATTTATAGAGGTCTCAAAATCATAAATCTAACCTAAAAAGAATAGGAAAACAAATCCCAAAGTAACTAGGAAATATCATAATTATTTAACACATAAATAAACTACTAATTAAACTTCAAAATAATTAAAATGATAATTTAAAACAAATACTCCAAAATATGCGCCTCGTGCTCGTTTCCTTCTCCTGGGCGGAATGGAAATTCCGGTTCATTGCTGGTGGCGGAAACCTTTTCACGTGTTCTTCCTTTCAGAATTAATAATCATCTTCAATCCTTGCAAAGCAAACTTCCAATGTACTTTTTACTTCTCTCCTTTAATTAATCAACTAGCTTTGTGCCCGGCCATTGGCCGGGTCTGAGTAGTATTGCTTATGATTTATGAATTATTATTGCATGTTTGTTTGGTGTGTGTTTGTATTGAAGGGATCGAGAGGGTCTGAAGACCTTTAGTCGAGACTTCTGGCTTTTTAAGAACCTTCCGCAGTATAACTATCATAGAAACTAAACTTGGTAATTACAATCCGGCTTAACTGCAGTCTAGGGGGAACCATATCCGGGTGACCTCTCTTAACCTGAATACAACAGTTTACTTGCTTTGTTAGTTTGATAGTTTAGACTTGCATTCCAGTTTCATTGCTAGATAACAAGAATTCACTGAGTAGTCATCAAATCTAGGACCCGGGTTGATAATTAAACCTAAACCCGCTATACTACGCTTTAGGAAGTGGTTTCACTTGGCCAATTCCTAGGGTGACAGTAGAAGTGAGTCAAGTTTTTGGCGCCGTTGCCGGGGATGGCTAGGTTGTTGAAGAAAAGTGATTTCTGTTAATTTAGCTTTTCTTTTTGCTTTGTTTGCTTTGTCCTACTTGTGCCTTCACGGGTTTGCTTGCTTGAGTGTGTGCAGGTAGTGCATGAAGCGTAGCGAGTCAGGAGGTTTACTGCCGTTGAATCCAGAGATTGACCGCACCTGTCGCCAGCTCAGGAGACAACAGCGAGCTAGACTGGCTACGGAAGAGCGCATAGACGGCCACCTGAGTAGCAATTCTGAAGAAGAGTACGGGACTTCCTAAAGCGTAGTATAGCGGGTTTAGGTTTAATTATCAACCCGGGTCCTAGATTTGATGACTACTCAGTGAATTCTTGTTATCTAGCAATGAAACTGGAATGCAAGTCTAAACTATCAAACTAACAAAGCAAGTAAACTGTTGTATTCAGGTTAAGAGAGGTCACCCGGATATGGTTCCCCCTAGACTGCAGTTAAGCCGGATTGTAATTACCAAGTTTAGTTTCTATGATAGTTATACTGCGGAAGGTTCTTAAAAAGCCAGAAGTCTCGACTAAAGGTCTTCAGACCCTCTCGATCTGAGTCTCTAGCGGGCGACTAACCTCCACCGGAGTAAACAGATTGAGGCCTTAACAAACAAAACCTCCACTACCGGAGTGAATCACGGGTTTGCTTGCTTGAGTGTGTGCAGGTAGTGCATGACGCGTAGCGATTATGACACGAACATGAAATTTGGTGAAGGGGAGACATCGTATGTCTGGGACGGAAGGGTGAAAGGGCTTCGTAGGAGTTGGAAATAAAAGGAGGTGGGCGGTATTTCGATGGGTATGGGGAAGAAAGTGTACGTGATGACGTGGAAGGCTAGACGGAAGGGAAATTTGAATCCCTGGACTGCATAATGGGAATCTGCTTATATTATTTTTTAGATAGATTTTGATAATCACAAATCAATCCATCCATGCCCTGAATTCTTCTCTTTGTGAAGAAGAGACACGTCTACTTCCATTTGGCAAGCTTCCATCAACATGACCCAACCAACCATTAATTCCATGCAATATAATTCTATAATTCTGTTCAATTATTTCGCCATCCATCATCACGTTAGTTTCACACGAGCAACAGCTATAATCGTCCTCTTATCCATTAAAAATGATCCCAATTGATCCTTACATCGTCGAATCTGAATCTTTATTTTTGGACCACGGGAATTAAATATCGTGCTAGTCGATATCGTATCATTCCCTCTCTCTTGAAGAAGATTCGACCTCGAATTTTTATAGAATCTTGAACCATGATCACCGACACTCTTCTTGGTCTTCGAATTAAATTGTCTTGGCATTGATGATTGTATCATGACTTCTTAAAGACAATTCGTCCACGAATTGTAGAGACATTATTATGTTGAAAACCTTCCACATAGCTCTGAAATTCTTGTTGATTTTCCATGTGTGCTCCCTCTTCGAAAATTGCATCGCCAACCACGAAATCAATATGATCATATTCTGGAACAAATGATGAATCCCCTAGAATCTTCATGCATTCATCTCCTCCATGACAGTCTTGTTCCTCATTGTGTTGCTCAACCTTTTGCGCACTCAAATATGGAACTTCAACTAGAATATCTTCTATCGCCTCCACTTCATCGAAATCTTCATATTCTTCACAACAAGTATCCAAAAGTGGACCTTCCATAGGCGAGATTTCAATACACTCCTTCTCGTCTTGATGTTGTATTATCGTCTGGCTCTGAATATCTTGTAGTTGATCTGCTTGAATCTCGATGTCAAAGACTTCTAGACTTGTCTCTTATGTCTCAATGGTAGATTCAAACGATTGATCTTGCTCTGGATGTGAATTCCCGACCTGCAACGGAGCTTCTTTTTGGAATACTATGGCTGGCCTACTAATTCCCCACGAAACCGCCAATCGAGTAAGGCTCACATTTATTTGTGCTTGCCCTTGATGATAAGCTTCTATTTGCATGCTGACTTGTCATAATGTTACCCCAATGTCTTGATTCGCTTGATTCTCCGCCATTATTGATTGATCCAAAATTAAACAAGAACCACAAAAACCAAAACACAAATTTTTTTTCCTACGTACAGCTTTGTGGCTGTATAACTTTTTTTCCAGTAAGAACCCACGTGAACAGTAACAATTATTAACACAAAACACAAAATTTTTTTTTTCTTTCTCTTCTCCTACAGACGCAAACGTAAACAATTAAAGAACACACCAAAAAAAAAAAAAAAATCCTCTCCTTTTTTTCCCTAAAATACTCACGTAACATATTAAACAACAACCTAGAATTAAAAAAACAAAGCCTTTTACTACTAACATGAACGTAAGAACAAATAATCAATTTTTTTTCACTATGCCTTTTTCGATGAGTTTTTTTTTCTTGGCTTTTCTAGAAAATAGCTCGTACAATAATAAAAAGTACGAAATTAAAATACCTCTTTTTTCTCGGCGCTAAATTTGAACCGGTAATCTAAAATTTGCCGCTGAGTTTGAACCAGACTCTTGATATACCACTTGATATGATCCTAATTTGAGAAATCACCCAAACTTTGACAAAAAATCAGAATTGCGCAACGTCGAACTCTTTTGGGGTTTTCTTCTTTCTTCAATGACACGAAAATAAAGGACAGTCGCGGAAATCGATCAAACAGATCTGAACTCGTGAGAAAGGCCTGAAGGTATATGAAACCTTCCAAACAATCTCGAGCCCGTGGAAGAGGCCAATCGATATAGTCGATGCTCGCCACAACTAGACGCATTCTCTAGTTGATAAGAGACCACTCGATTCTCCTGAATCCTAAAAGGAGAGAATAAGCAAACGTTCACAAAGGAACTAGAGTAAACACTCAATGTAATTGATAACTAAAATCTTGGATACAAAATTCGTAGGTCATACACCCTTTATTTATAGAGGTCTCAAAATCATAAATCTAACCTAAAAAGAATAGGAAAACAAATCCCAAAGTAACTAGGAAATATCATAATTATTTAATACATAAATAAACTACTAATTAAACTCCAAAATAAAATGATGATAATTTTAAAAAAATACTCCAAAATATGCGCCTCGTGCTCGTTTCCTTCTCCTGGGCAGAATGGAAATTCCGGTTCATTGCTGGCGGCGGAAACCTCTTCATGTGTTCTTCCTTTCAGAATTAATAATCATCTTCAATCCTTGCTGGCGGCGGAAACCTCTCTTGCTTCCTCTGTGTCTGTTCGATTATACTTATAGATGATTGTTCTTATTTGTTTGTTTTCACTGCAGTTTAATGGTTTAGTTCTGTCTTTCTCATTGGTTGAGCTTCTTTGATTTCTATAAGGGGAGATTCAGGCGGTGAGTTCGGTGCCCAAGATTTGGACGGTCACAGGTATATTGCTATAGGTTCATTTTGTTTTTTGCTTTTGGGAGATCCAAAGGGTTTGGAAAAATGAAAATAGGTAGGTTCATTTTGGTAGATGTAATTGTTGGACTGCTGAGTTTGTTTTCACAATATTCTCTTACTTTCATCAGGTTACTCCATTTGTCTCCCTTTCTATTCTGTCCAAACCTGATGCACTTAGATGCTGGGTCATAGCTTGATGTCAGGTCAGGAGTTCTACTTGGATTTGGAAAAGCTCTGGGGATGTTCCAACAGATTTTCATTTAGATTTGCAATGAGCCACCCAAAAGAATTGCTAATTAGTGGCTACTGGGGATGTTCAGCAGATTTAGTTTTCACATGTATAGTGCACTACTTTGATTTGATATATTGGCAAAGTTGAGAGTGATCTCAATTAGTTAGTAGCTAGACTCATGTGTTAATTTATGATAAAATCCAGGAGCCGTAATTGAAACTGTGCTCATTCTATGGTATCTTATATACAGGTGTTTGAACATAGTTTTTGCTTTTAAAAGTGGTCTCCTTGATTTGTTTTTGTATCAGAAGCTCTTCAATGAGAAGGCTTGGAATTATTTGTTGTGAACAATTGTACATGGATTCATCCCTCTACTAATTTTGTGCTTATATGCTATCCCACGGGTGATCAGGTTGTACATTTTCTAAGTAGCTATGCATCTTAATTTTGCAGCACAACCGAACTTCACTTTTTGCTGATGGAATTCACTTATCCTGGGGCTTTATAAATAAAAACAATGGAATTACATCTCCGTGGCTTCTTCAGAAGAAAAAAAAAAAACAGTCAATGGAGTAAACCATGCACTACATATATTTATCATGTGTATAAGCTAAGCACACATTCGCCATATTAAATTTCAAAATTATCCATTTATGTTTCAATGGTTTGTTCAAATCCCGGCGCAAAGCGCGGGTAAAGAAAGCTAGTAAATTTAGTGGCACCAATCCTCCAAACAATATAAGGAGGTTCTCCTTCGTAACCCTTTCCATTCTATTTTCTCTGGCTTCTGCGCAGTTTTAGGAAGGAGTCCTTGGTATTTTACTGTTTTTATTTTTTAATTAAGAAAATTGGCTTCTTGGGCTCGGTGTTTATATTTGCGGTCTGAATGTTTTATGGTCCTGGAAACTTTTTATTTTAATTATTGTTTTCAAATTTAGAACTTGGGTTTCAATTCTCTACGTGGATCTGATGCTTTGATTTAGGATAAATCCAAATATGGAAAAGGTTACATTGCAAGTATTGATAATATGTTAGCTTAAAAATTAGGGTTAATATATTTGTATGGCTCGAACTTTTGACAAATTAAACATTCTGATTAATCTTTTCAATCTATTGTGACATCAACTATGCATCAAAGTTAAGAAACTGGTCAAACCTGAGATTTAACTATTATCATAGAAGGTCAAAAGCATTGACTAACGGTGAATGTGCCACGTCATTGCCGAGTAAGCACAAACCACTTATCTTTTTCAAAATAAAAACGGAAGTTCCTTTTTTCTTTTTTTGTTCAAAATAAAAAAGATAAATGGTAATAGGTGGAAAAAACCAAAATTTTAAGTGGTTTGTGCTGACTTTGCAGTGATGTGGCAAATTGACCATTAGTCAACGCGTTTGACCGTCCAAGATAACCGTCAAATCTCGGGTTTGGCCAATTTCGTAACTTTGATGCATAGTTAAGGCCACGATGTTATAGATCGAAAAGATTAGCCATGATATTTAATTTGTGAAAAGTTTGGGCCATCTAAATATATTAACCCTAAAAATCATTGAAAGTATGTGAATATTTACAACTTAATCATCAACTCATGATATAAGTAAGTGAATATATTAGGATAACAACAACACATGGTTAAAGATGGGTGATTTCAAAGAACGACATGAGTTTAAGGTTGGGCATATTAATCTTTTAGGGTAAATACAATTTATCAGTAAAAGCGTTCGAATTTTGTAATTATTAGCCAAAACTTTCGAAATACAAAGCGTGGCCAAATATTAGCTTCCCATTAGCAGTTTTATTAGTAGCAATGACGTGGCAACATGATATTGGGGTTGGAAAAGACAAGTGGAGGTCAACCTTCCAAAATTTAGTATTTTAATTAATAAAAGAGCTACAAAATTAGTAACAATAACAAACAAATAGCTAATATTTTGATACGTTACAAAAACATTGGCTAATACTTTGTATTTTGAAGTATTTGGCTAATAATTTGATTAACCCTAAAAATTATTAAAGTATGTGGATATTTACAACTTAATCTTGAACTCATGATATAGGTAAGTGATATATTAGGATAACAACAACATATGTTTAAAGATGGGTGCTTACAAAGGACGACATGCGTCTAAGTTTGGGCATATTAATTTTTTAGGACAAATACAAATTATTAGTAAAATCGTTCGAATTTTTTAAATTATTAGCCAAACTTTCGAAATACAAAGTGTTAGCTAAAAAAAATGAAAATAAAGCCAACAAAATAAGTGGCAATTTTTATAAAAAAGGAGTAAATAGAATTATAGAAGTGTCATTTGAATAAGCTTTTAGGAGTCGGCTCCTTGGTTTAGGATCTGTCTTTTATGCTAAGGATTTTAGTAAATGAACTAACATGATTTTTGAAAATACTATGATGTTAATTATTTTGAATGTTTTCAACTACTAAATAATTTGGATTCTCTTATGCTATAAAATAAAAATATATATTGCCTAACTTTTACTATTAATTTTATGTAATTTAAAAAAATTATTCCAGCTAACTAGTCGAGCCTATCTTTTTTTTGAAAAAGGACACTGAAATTCCATTAAATGCAGCAAAAGCCAATCATTACAAAAGGGGAGCAACCACATCAAGAATCTGTAGCCATTATGAGGGCAATTGGTTTTTAGCACATGATCTAGCTACCCAATTAGCTTTAGAGTTGTTCCTTCTACCGATCTGCTTGATCTTGATCAACGGATTATCGTCCATCGTTTGTTTGATGATACCCAGCCAAGATGCCGCTCGCCATGGCCATGTCTTAGGATGGCTATGAACTGCACGAACCAGGGGCAAGCAGTCAGATCGCACCAGGCAGGGAGATCTGAGGGAAGCAGCTAACTAGGAGCCCTCCAGCAGGGCCTTTGCTTCTGCTTCAAGTGGGGAAAAACAGTGCAGAATCTCAGCTTTACCATCATACACTTGACCATGGCTGTTCGAAACAACGACACCATATGCCGCCTCCTGGGAATCGTCGAAAAACGATCCATCGTAGTGTACTTCAAAGTCATGAGTACCTGGCGGTGATGAAGAGTGCTCTTGGGGTGAGATGAGCTGAGGTGATGGGGGACCTATGGTTGTTTCCTGGGGCACGTGGTCCATTGATGATGCGCCAAAGCTGCCTTCGAGATTGTGGAGGGGGGCCATGGGGCAGTACTTTTGAAAATCTTCTCGTTCCTCGCTTTCCATGTCTGCCATACAAGAAAAATGATCTTCTGAATCGAGCAGATCGAGAAACTGTGTTGCAGGGAGTCCAACCATCCCAGGAAGGGAGAGAGAGAGAGAGGAGCAGGGGGAGGCAACGATGGCCATTCCCGCGTGTGGGCAGGTGAATAAGCAGTGATGAATCGATTAAGAAGTGAAATCACAGATCGGGCACACCTTCGAAGCAGAGCATTTCCTCGCAAATAGATTCTCTTTAGAAGCCATGGCGCCTCTGGTCACCCTCCAAACGAAAAACTTCAGCTTTGGGGGGATAGACAGACTCCAAAGCCATTTCCACCTTTGCTTACTAGCCTCCGAAATTACCTCGACATGTCCTTGTGCTTTTCCGACACGATTATGGAAATGGATGAAGGCTAACTTGACCGTGAAGACTCCCTGGTCAGTGAACCTCCATGCACAGAAGTCTTCAAGAGACTCCGTGCCAATTGGGATGGCGACCACCTGTTTCAGATCATGTTGGCTAAGAAAATCAGCCAGCAGGTCGAACTTCCTTTCCCTCGAGATATCATCGATCCAATTGTCTGCAGTAGTACTGTCATTCCAATCGAAACGAAGAAGAGGACCGCCCTGTCGAATCTTCAGGGGTCCTGGAAAACCTTCGTTGTTTTTCCATTGCCAATCACCCGAATCAGACCCTGTCGCATCCATGTTTTAGCTTCACACAAACTGGACCAAATCCATGAGGCCTTTCCTCCTTTTTTTGCATTAAGAAAGTCTGAATTGGGAAAATAGATATTTTTCAGTACCTTGACCCACAAGGAATCCTTGTTGGTGAGGATTCTCCACGCCTGTTTGGCCAATAATGCCATGTTGAAAGTATGGAAAGGCTGAAATCCGAGTCCTCTCTCCTTTTTTGGTGAGTACAACACATGTCCAACCCTCCAATGGATCGTTCTCTTCATCATATTTCCTCCACAGAAGAAATTTTTGAGCATTGAATCCATTTTCTTTGTTGTACTCTTTGGCAGGAGGAACAGGCACATAATGTATAATGGGACCGCCTG